GCAGTGGTGCGATTTGTGATTTCGTATTTTTGGTTTGTCCAATTTAATAGAAGTTACTTATTCGTTTCCCTGTTTTTATTCACCTTTGGGTTCCATTTGGTTGAAGTGATTTTAAATCTAGGGATTTAGATGTCATTATAAGGTTAAATTGTTTGTTTAGACTAGTGCAATCTATGTATGCTAAGATTTGAATAAGAATATAGATTCCAAATGACTACTTGCATATAATCATTTCAAATGTATTACATCTAGTTATTTCAAATACATTCAGTCTTATGTTTTATAGTTATTATTTTTATTTTTATTACAGCACATTTAGCTTTCTTGTCCTAATCCTGTCTTTCAAGTACCTTCATCCAAACGGAGCCTTGGTTTTGCATCATGTATACCTTGTGTAGCTGTGTCACATCCTGAATATTACTTAAAATGTATAATGAAATAGAAAAGAGACTAAACTGTACTGAGGTCTTGAAATTTATTGTTGGCTTAAACAAAAATTATACCGTGAAATATTAGGTGTGTTATGATTCTCTACATGGAGTTCCAAATTTGTAGGTTTTTTTGTGAACTTTATTCTTAAAGAATTTTTTTAAATAAAAATTTATCTTGTTTGCAGTGATTTCTTATCCCGCGTTGAACTCTGAAGCTCATGACCTTATGTGATGGTTTTCCACAGCTATTTATCATCTGTGTGTTCTTGGCCATAAGTGTTGGTTGGGCTGCTATATTTACAGCTGAACTTTTTTTTCAGATAGATGTATATGCACAGATGCTTTAGGATTGTTGCAGTGCACTCCCTGTCCCATGTTTGTGTGTGTGTGTGTGTTTTTTTAATGATAAATTTATTTATTTTTACTTTAAAAAAGAGAAATTATGAACTTTTTGCATTTGTTGGCTGCGCTTCTCTGGGCCTCTATTATTGATGAAGTCTTTCTTTGTTTGCTATGCGTAGGGCATTATTGTTTGTAGACTGCACTCCATGGTCTTGAACAGTATTCAGTGTCATTCATGCATATTAATTAGTCAGTGGGTAATAATTGTCATTCAATCATAATAAGGATATTAACAGTCTAATATGGTATTGAAGTCCTATTGAAATCTCCGCCAAGTCACTGAGTTCCTCCTGAATGCCAAAATATCCTTGCAAAATGGCTAATCAGATAACTTGGTTTTTATTTTTTGATTTCATTTTTTTCCAAAGAATTCCACCTGATTATTAGATGAGAAAGGGGCCTCAGCTCCTTATTTGTCTGGTTGTTTATTTTTTTTAAAAACACAAGCCAGATGATGTCATTTGGGATGGGTACGAGTTTAAAACAAAAAGCTGGCATGGTGTAAGCTTTTGAAATTGAACAACATTATGGGAATATTCCTCTTGGTCAGTATGGGTCGTATCCTTTAAAACTTGCATTGTTTGAGTATATAGTATTTTATCGGTACCTTGTGGTAAACCTTTTTCTCTTCTGTTTGCAATTTAGACAATTATTGTCTGAAATACAAATCTCATGCCTATTTTTCACTTCCATGCACATAACTGAACCATATTGAATTTGATTTCTGTAAATTATAGGTATTCTGCTCCAATAAAAGTCGATGTAGAGTACATTCAAGGAAGTCATGATCAAAAGACTAGAGTGGAGAAGGTATTTAGAAATTGTTTCTAGACAGATTTGTTTGAAAATGTGTATTTGGATATAATATGAAGTTTTTTTTTGGCAGAAAGGTGTCGTAATCGGAAGGATGCCTATTATGCTACGGAGTTGCTCCTGCACCCTATATGGGAAAACCGAATCTGAACTTGCCAAACTTGGTTTGTGCAGAACAAAATAAAACTCACTTTGTTTCTTGCCCCCCTTTTTCATCTCCATGCTTTGTTCTGCTCTATAATGAATGTGCATGTCTGTAGGTGAGTGCCCCCTCGACCCTGGAGGATACTTCATAATCAAGGGAAATGAGAAGGTAATATTCTCTCTGCCATAATCTGTTACTTTTCAATAAATGGGATGGTAACTGAACCATAATCTGTTACTTTATTATTATTTTTTATTTTTTATCCATTAAAAATAAAACAGTTGATGAAGTAGCTGGGGCCCATGAATTTTCATTCCCTTCCATTTTTGAGCTATTTTGCCCGCACACACCCACACACACACACACACACACACACACACATATATATATGTATATGTATATGTATATATTGTTACATTGGAAGGGATCAAACCCTTGACCTATCGTAATTCTTATCCTTTTCCCCATCCTCTCTCACCACTTGAGCTAACCCCAAGGTTCTTATACATTTTGAGGAACAGTTCAATTTGCATTTTTTTAGGCACCTTCGAGTTTGCTTTTGTTTTTCTTGTGTTGGCTGTTGCGCAGATCTAGCTGTTAGAATGCAGTGCGCTGCTGTCAGATTCTTTAGCTTTCATGTTTTGGTTTTTTCCTCTTGATGCAATTTATGTTGTTGATGAAGATACAAAATAATTTATTTATATAATACAAACACAGTGAACAAACTGTTCACTGATGATACATAAAAGATTTCTGAACAATCTATCTGCTAGATAGAAACTTCACACAATGTTTGGTAGGATCTCAAGTTAACATTGCAAAATGTATAAACTAAATGGTATCTCATGGAAACAGCTGCCTGCCAATCCAGATGAATAAAAAGGTGTATCCCAAATTTCAAAGGATGCCTAGTGAATTTAATTCCACAAAATCCTTTTATTTTGTTCCATCCACACAACTCAAATTTAACAATCACCTTACTTTTGCACAAGAATTTTGTTTGTGCCCTCAAAAAGCATAAAGTACATAAATGTGTGATTCCAGAATCACCTGCTAGGTGCTTCTAGTAAAGTCACTCCCAGAAAAAGCTCTTATGGCAGAAGTGCTTCCCACAATAGATTGGGAGAGAAAAGGATGTTCTATACTTTCAGCCTCCTGTTGTCACATAAACCATAATACACCAATAGGGAGATAAACTAGCATTAGTCCTTCTCCTTTGATTAATGTCTGAAGTATTTTTTCCTCCTTGAACATTCATCCAAACTAATACTTGTACCTTAGATGGTACTTTTAGTCTTCCAAATCTTGTGACAAGAAAAGGTGGAGAGAGAACTTATCTATGAACCTACAAAATAAGTACTGTAAACAACCCCGAAGACTCTGAGTTCCAAGCGTCTTCTATCCGGACTAACAACTTGTAATGAAACCGTTTGACAACGAGCTGAGCCCCTCTATGCAGTCTGGCTAAACACGGCCAATTTTTTTATTTTTTATTTTTATTTCCTTCTTTCTTCATAGTTTTTTGTTTCAGCATATGATGACACTGCAATCCCTTCCAGGTGCTTTTAATGCAGGAACAACTTTCAAAAAACAGGATTATCATTGATATGGACAAGAAGGGGAAGTGAGTTCTTCTTTCTTTGTTTTTCTTTACTATAGGTGTTCCCTGTCTACAGTCCAGGCTTTAGGGTATTTTTATTTCTGTTGTTTTATTAGATTTGGGTGCTGTCGTGGGGTAGATAGAAGTAGTTTGGTTTCTTCTTTTTATAAATAAAATAGAATTCTATTTTGGTTTCGTTTTTGGTGAGGTATGTATCAAGATGATGGTGAACCTTTATTTCACCGTTTTGTCCCTTCTATTTTGATTATGTTTACTAATTATATTTTTTCATAAACCTTTCATTTTGTTTTAGTTTAAATGCATCTGTTACGAGCAGCTCAGAGAGAATAAAAAGCAAAACTATTATTCAGATGGAAAATCAGAAGATCTATTTGATGCTTAACCAATTTGTCAAAAAGGTTGTAATGCCACATTTCATTTCAAGAAATTTAAGATTTTGTTTCATGGTATCTTGTGACTGTCATATCTTCCTGTAATTTATTTTTCTTTTCAAAAACCTTTTCTATAGATTCCTATTATGGTGGTCATGAAGGCTATGGGAATGGAGAGTGATCAAGAAGTAGTACAGATGGTTGGAAGAGATCCTCGATATGCTGCCCTGCTAATGCCATCTATTGAGGTATTAATATGGTCATGGTCAAGTAATGTAAGCAAATGATTAGCTTCTTTGTCTAGAAATGGAATTGGCACAGTAAATGATGAATTTTTTACCCAACCTAACCAAGTTTTTTTTATTGATTTGGGTTGGCCCATTTAGATTGAGTTGTGTTGGCTCAGTTTTTTTAATGGAGAAAAAGGATAATAGAGCTCAAAACATGACGAGCATCAGGATAATAGGAAAAAATCAGCGTTCAATCCTAGAACAAAGATAAGAGAAAAGTCTGAGGTTTATTGATAATAAAACGATCAGTCTGATCACAACCACCAAAAGTTGTTTAAATACTCTTTCCAAACCCTAGCTCCAAATAAAAAAAAATAAAAAAAATACCGCAATTTTCTATAATATTGAAACTAAAAAACCTCAAAACGCTTAGAAAGCACATATGTCAGCCCAAAGCACTGAGTTTTATTCATCTCGTTGTTCCCAACTTAGATATTCCATCTCATAAATTGTAAATTTGTAACATTGTGTCTTCTTGTCTCTTCAAAAACTATTGCCTTTGCCCGGTGCACTCCCATTGTTGTGAACATTTAAATTTTTTTTTTATTAGTTTACCTTTTTCAGTTGTTATTTGTACATTTTGGGCCTGCAAACACGTCCTTTTCTGTATTAGTCTCATCTTTTGAGTTTGTTTCTCTAATTTCAGGATTGTGCAAAGGAAGGTATACATAAGCAAGAGCAAGCTTTGGCCTACCTTGAAACAAAGGTTTTCTGTGTGGTACCCTTGTTTTGAATTGTGATGATTTCATTTTATTATCTGGAAACAGACTTCAGATGTTCAAGCATCAATTTTATTGTTTTGGGATACATCTCTTTCAATGGAGACCAAAACAGCTCTGAAATTGCATATGGCCTTGCAATTAATGTGGGGGCTATTATTTCAATCTCTCTCTCTTTTCCTGTTTATTTCTTATTTATCAATCTACATTACATGGATTTGGGCATTGCTCTTGGATGTGAGTACATGCACTAGTGCCGAATACATCTTTGTTCCGTCAGGTCTTCACTCATTCGTAGTATTCCTATTAGTAAGCCATGATCTTACCAATTCCCTGTTGTATTGACATGGCCAGGCCAAGGTGAAGTAAAGGTCCATGTAATGCAGATTTCATCTACTCATAGGAAGCTTATGCCCTTTCACTGTCAACCTAGATATTTGTGTGGTAGGGTGTGCCCTTCCTTGACCAATGTAGTGGTATATCTTTGTGGAAGGTTGATTGAAAACATCAGTGTGCCTTATAGTGTGGTGTGCTAATGGTTTTGGTACTTCTTGTTATTATGGGTACATGGCCCCCAAATACCTTACCATTTACTTATTTGCTCTGCAAGGAATTTAGGCCTCTTATAGCTCCTGGATAATGCTTAGAGTAAATGAAATTTAAAGAATTTTACTTAGAGTAATGGATGAGATAACAACTTTGTGGATTGTGGAAAGCCGATGTAAGTGGGGGATTGAAGACTCAAAAGAAAACTAACCTAGCCAAACATCTCCCTCCAAATTTAATTTTAGAATCATTCCCCACCACAAAGTTAGACCCCTGTGCGAAAAAAGGGAAACCTGAGAGATGAATTTCCAGAGGCAGCTAAGTGAACCTTGCTCCATAATGGTGGAGTGCTACCCACTCAGACTGCACTCCAATATTTGAATAGCAGAACACCAAGTGAGTCCTGCTCAAGAAGACATCTCCACCACCATTGATCTGTTCTGAATTGAAGTCTAAATATCTTACAGTTGCATTTCTAAATTTCTATCTCTGTCTATTTGTGGAAATGAATTGTAACTATTTCTAGTATCTATTTCCTTTCTTTTCAAATGCTAGCTGTGACCTTTTGCCAAAAAAAAAAAAAAAAAAAAAAC